CGTGAACAACGATAAGCTAAAGAATCCGGATAATATGGACCGACTCACAAATTACTCCGCTCTGCTTGAAAGTCGAAGGGATGCAAGTCGATTATTGTCGGCGGGCCGATCAGTGAGGCTGGAAGGACTGCGCTTTATAACCTGCTGACGTTCCACACGGGCGATTTTACGGTCAAGACGGAGGATCTGGATCGCAAGGTACGACGCATGCGAGTACGAAACCTTCAATCGGGAGTCGTTGACTTCTTAGTCCATCCAAAAGTCAAGCTGCTGACTTTCCACCCGTCCAATTTCACGGTTAAGACGGACGCTATTGACTTTCCCTCTTTCATAGCACTCTGCTGCTACCGCCGCTAGCACTTCTGTGCGCTACGCTATGCCTTGCCCCCTACTCCTACCTGGCTTATTTCTTTCGCGCGCTACCTTGCTTATGTCTCCCCTCCTCGCCCTAATCATGTTTGCATGGCAGTGCAACGCTGATGGCTGGACCTTCAAGATCCTGTTCAACGGTCAGAATGTGAACTTCAAGACAGGAACAGCGCTGGGCTCATTTCTTTTACGCGCTAACTTGCCTCTCCTCTCTCTCCCCGCCCTAATCACCTTGGTTGGCAGTGCAACGCTGATGGCTATACCTTCAAGACCTTGTTCAACGGACAAAATGTGAACTTCAAGTGCGACAGCAACAGCAATGGGCTCGTTTCCGGGTCGGAACCACTCGCATCCAACACGGCTGCTGGGACTCCGTCTGCTGTCGTGAAAATTGACGATAAGTCCGGCGATTTCTTTTACGTTGACAGTATTGTATACCCCAGTGAGATGGCCTCCCTACCTGGTACGCGTTTGTTGTCCTTTTTGAGGTGCCTCAAAGGACGGGCGATTTCTTTTACGTCGACAATCTTGTATTCCCCAGCGACATGGCCTCGCTGCCTGGTACGCGGTTTTGTCTTTTGCAAACAAGGTTTTGGACTCAAATCAGTGAGCAACTGGCTCTCAGCAAGGGTCTTTTACATTTACTTCTTTATTGCATGTTGTTCTCCTGTTACGAATTTGGATATGGGTCATGCCTTTCCCTGCATGGTGCCACACTGCATCATACATGCAGCCATACATCTATATGGCCAGCTTTTCAGTTTTCTTTCCTCTCCTTTCTCCATTTCTCCACCCCCCCTCACTCCCCCTAAATCCCATTTCTCTCTCCCCCACCCTCTCCTTCCACTCTCATTACTCCCATCTCTCCCGCTTCTCCTTCCTCCTCTCACTCCCATTTTTCCTCCCCCCCCCTCTCTCTCTCTCTCTCTCTCTCTCTCTCTCTCTCTCTCTCTCTCTCTCTCTCTCTCTCTCTCTCTCTCTCTCTCTCTCTCTCTCTCTCTCTCTCTCTCAAGCGGTCCGTGTATTAGATCCGAGCAAGTACAGACATGCACCAAGGATATAGGGTCTAGGAGCAACAGGCCTCTAACACTCCTATATCCTACTCACACCCTTGCTCCCTCTAAGGGAGCTCCAGAGCCGGCTCCAGGATGGCCAGGCAGTCCCCAAGGGACATGCCATCGCCCGGTAACTCCACAGGTGGGTTCTCCACCTGAGCTGCGAAGTTACACTTCGTCATGAAGGCCACGGACTGAGCCCGCTGCAACGCCACGGACCACCGCTGGCGGAACTGGTGTAGCAGCTTCGTTGCCTGGTAAGATGAGGGGGCCGCATTGAAGTGCCTGCGGGCGGCAATGTCAGCTAACAGTTTGAGAAATTGGGGGACTTCCGCGCAAGGGCAGCCGTAAGTGTCAACGGCCAGTGGGAAAAATCCGACCCACGAGGCCGTTGAGCCCTCGTAATCGGAAATCTTTTTCTCTGCCGCCTCACGGGCCGCCCATCCCCTGCCCTTGACCGCGTCGGGGTCACGTGTGCTGATGGGGTCCGTGATGGTCACGTCCCCAATCCACACCGCCCCTGAGGTCTTGTCTCTGATAGCAATGTCGGCCTTCTTTCGCGTGACGGGACAGAATGCCGTCGTCTCACTGTGAGTCATGAAGTCCGCGTCGCTGGCCATCCGCAAGCATTCATCGCGCAGCTCATTGTGAGTATTAGTCCTCCCCTTCCCCGTGTCACAGCGCAGGAGATGGTTGGGCAGCCGCCTGTCCGGGATTAACACTTCCTTGCGGCAGTCACAGGCACCAGGAGCCGAGGAGGGGAGCCCTAACCGAAACTCCAGCGCGTGAGCAAAGTGGGCCGGGGCAAGGCGCAGCGACTTGTTGAAGGGCACGGCGTTGAGCCAGTCCCCTGCCCCATACCCCGAGAGCGAGAGCATGCGCTGCGTGTGCCCGCTAAGTGGATTCAGCGGCATGATGCGTGTAGCTTGCACCTGCTCGGCGTAGCGCTGGCCGTGCACCGCGATAGCCAGCCCCTGCTGCAATTTGACACCCTTAGGATCACACCGGTCACTCTGCAGCAGCTCCTTTCCATCCTCCGGCAGCGACTCCTCACACCGCTCCAGCCAGTCAAATAGGGGGGTCGTGTTGGTAAAGGGCCCCTTCATCCGCATCCGAACTTCCGCCAGCGCGCCCATTGCTGCCTCGTCAATAGAGGTGAGTAGGTGCTGGGCTTGGGTGTAGCTTGCAAGGAAACCCACGCGTCCTTCCACCGAGGGGTCTGTGAGCCCCAAGCCTCCAAGCGAGATTGGAAGCGAGGCTTGGGCCCATGTACGCGAAATCTCGTCCTCCCCCCGTGGGTGGCGGATGCCACAAGCTGTCAGCAACGTCTCGAAGAGGCGCTTGCCCCAGTCGGACCACTCCTCAACAGGTAAGGCAGAGAGAGGTGTGGTGCGTGCAACATAGGAGACCCGTCGTGAGATGCATCGCGTGAGCAGAAGTGAAGCCAACTGCGGCTCCATCCACGCGATTAAGGGGAGGGGCCCGCCCATTTTGTCGAGGCTATCACGCAGGAATGCCGCCGTTGCATCGGCGCCGCCAATGAAACTGCCGAGCACCTTCACTCCATCATCCACGAAAGGTACGCCCTCCGGAAGCACTCCTCCACGCCGCCCTGACTGTGACCACGCCGCGCACTTGTCCGGATTGTGGCGCAGCCCAATCTCCCCAAGGTTTCCCGTGAAGTCGTCGAACGCCGCCGCACACGAAGCCGGCTCTCCAAGAAAAGTGACGTCGTCCGCGTAAGCTAGGCAAACCACGGACGGGAAGGTAAGAGCCGTCTTCGCCAGAGCTGGGTGAATGGCAGCGGCAAAAAGCAGGGGACCGAGGGGGTCCCCCTGCCGCACTCCGGTCTCGCTCAGGATGGCTGGGTGTGAGAAGCCAGCGTCTAAGCAGAGGGCCGAGGGGAGGCCATACAACAGTTTTACTAGCGGCAAAAGGGAAGCGAGAGGGGATCCGCGAAGCGACGTGACAATCGCTTCCCTATTCACGCTGTTAAATGCGTTTGCCAGATCCGCTTGAAGGACCAAAGCCCCCGTGTGCATTGTAAGGTAGGTGCGTGTGATGTGGATAATTGCCTCTGCCCCTCCGGGAACCGCCACGCCAAACTGGAGCGGAAGGAAGAATTCCCTAGCGGCTCCTGCGGTCAAGGTAAGCGCCGTTTTTGCAGCTAGGCGTGTGATGCTTTCGCCAATGGCAATTGGCCGTGTTCCTCCTTCTGGCTTGGTGAGGGCAATCAACCGCGAAGCAGTGAGGAGCTCGGCTACTGCTGGTGGTAGCTTTCCCGTGAGGATCGTGTTGACGAGTGCATGAAGATGTTTCCCGACGGAGTGGTTGATCAGCGCCGCATCACGAACGTTGTTCCAGAGGGGCCCGCTCCCACTCCCATCTCACAGCTTCCCAGCACTCTAGAAAACACTGCGAACGGTGCAGATAGGCCTGGGTCAGGTGCTGGGAAAGTCCAGTCCGGTAGGGAGGAAGGTGCCGGTGGATGCTTGGCGCGCAAGGCCTCCAGCACACTTGGGGAAGGAGTGCTGACCGGCGTGGCTTCAAGTGCCAGCACGGCACGCCGTAAGCTGCCACGTCGCGCGAGTCCCTCCGCCCTGGCGATGACGCCAATGTCATCGGGCTGGTGTCTGGGTGGCTGAGGCCACGAAAGGGATTCCACTGTTTCTGTGTACAATTTGTCCCATTCTCCAGACAGAAACTGACGAAGGCGGGCCTCAACAGCCTTCCAGTCTGGCCGGCGTGGTGACAACTGGCGCAGAGTCAATCTTGCGACGAACAGCAACAACGTCCAAGCAGAATCCGAATCTGGATTTTCGGCCAATCGCAGGAGAGGTACAAGCAGTGCTGTGGCGAAGAGCCTGCGTGGGTCCGAAGGGAGGTGGCGGGAGAGAGGAGCGTGGCGAGAGTCGCGCAGTTTCGCTAAATCCCAGGTGGACACGCTGGCGAAGAGGGTGTCATCCCTGGCGAGGGATTCTGGAGATCTTTCCTCAGGGGGATGGGGTTGAGTGTGGTTTCCACCAGTGGCAGAGTGTGGGGCGGTTCGTGGAGTGGTTCGAAAGTTGGAAATTGTGGTTGGGGGCGGTGGTGTAGCCATAATGCCCGTCACGTCGCGGGTTGGTGTTGGGGACCCCCTCCTCCCTATGGACCGCGGAGCCGTGCCACCTCCCCCAGTGTGGGATGGTGTAGCTCTTCCTGCTCGAACTGGAGTCTGGTGGTGTGTCTCGTCCACGGACTCTGAACTCGAAGTTGAGTCTATCGATTCAGCAGGTACAAAGCTGCTGTCCGAAGTACTGCTGTCATTATCCTCATTCATTAAAGCCCGCCTTCCCGCCTGCTGGTAGGCGTTCTCTGGCCCGCCTCCGCGTGCTCGCCCTCCGCTGCCCGCTGCTCTCCCCCCGCGTCCAGCAGGAATCGCCCCCGTTCGCCCCTCGTCCGCGTTTGGCGCGGAATCCTCCCCTCGCCTTGATGGAGACGACTGCTCCTCCCGGCCGCGACTGTACCGCGGAGAGCGAGCCTGCTCTCCGCCCACTTCCCCCTGCGCGTTCTGCCGCGAGCGTCCCCGTCGCTCCGATGGGTGCGGATGAACAGATCCGCCGCCGATTCGAGGAGCATCGTCGCGAAATGCCGCGGTCCCTGTCCCGTACAGAGTGGGCGCTCGAGGGACACGTCGCGCGCTCCGACGCGGAGGCAGCGGCGCACCGGGGGCGTTCGCCTCGGCGCCGCTCATCAGTGACGCGCGAGGAAGGGCGGGCGAACCCCCGCAATGATCGCCGTAGAAAAACTCCGTCGCCCCGTCCGCCGCGGTCGCCGCATTCGCCGTGTTCGCCGCGTTCGCCTCGCTCGCCTCGTTTGCCGCGTCCCAAGGTATCGCGGAGCCGGTCCCGAGATCGCCGGACGCGCCGCCACCAGTCTCCCGCTCGCCGTTCGATCCGTCAGCGATCACCTCATCGTCCCGCCTCTCGTCACCAATCTCCCGCGGCGCATTCATCGCGGCCGTCAAAGCGCCAGCGGCTGCACTCGCCTCGTCGTGGGGGCCGATCCCCTGGGCGCCACCGCCAGCGCGTGCAATCCCGCCCGCAATCGCCCGTGCGGTCGAATGCGAGTGGGCGCCATGGGCGTCGTGGAGGCTATGGCCGTGGCGGAGCGGCGCCGCGGGCGCCGTCCGCGATGGAGCGTGTTCTCCAGAGGCTGGACGGCGTGGAGGAAGCAAACCATCGTACGAAGGCGGAATCGTCGTCCCGTCCTGCGCGTCCCCCTGCCCCCGATGTTCCCCTCGCTGCCCTCCTGCCGCATGATCCCGAGGGCTCTCTCGTGCGCCCCAGTCGACCGCTGCCTGCTGGGGCCGGCTTCGTGGGCGCGGGAGGCGGGGATCCGTGGGCCCCTTTCGTTCCGCCGCGCCCTGCTCCACCTCCGCGCGATTATGTGGTGTCGTCCCGTCGAGCTCAAGCCTCTGCATTGATGCCGGCGAAGAAGGAAGTGCCCACGGCGACCCTGGCGCACTTATGGTCGCTTGCGGAGAGCCTGCAGGGGTCTTGAGGTGGTCCTAGCGGAGTCCCATGGCTCCATGGCGGTGACCCCACCGAGCACGTTCTCTCAGATGCCGCGAGCAAGGTGTCACGCGGCGGCGTCAGCAATATTCTCGTACGTATCGCCACTGCAGGTTGCGCCCTCGCCGGGAGTAGTCTCGGCCACCCTGCTGGCTGAGAAGGCCCTGGATCTGAAGACGCTTGTAGGAGATCGCGGAACTCCTGTTGACGTTTTCGGCGCCACCGTGTCAGTGGTCCGCTTGATGTGGATGACCACGCGCGAAATGCTAGGTGAGCTTGAGGCGGACCGCATGTAGGCGCGGCCCTCGTTCGCGTGTAGACCCGCTCCATGTGTTTGCTCCTAGATGTACTTGGTTGCCATTGTTGTTGTTGATGTCCTTCTAGTTGGCCACGGTTGTGCTAGTCTTGTCACCCCTCACGTGCGGCCGAAGGCCGCGCACGCGAGGCCGAGAGGCCATTATATAGGGGTGAGAAGGATGAAAGGGCTAGGTGCTAGAGGCTGGGTAAGAAGCTCTCTCTCTCTCTCGCTCTCTCGCGCGAGCGCCGGGAAAATGCTTTGGAGAACCAAGCGAACAATGAGTTAGATCAGAGGCCGAGAGGCCATTATATAGGGGTGAGAAGGATGAAAGGGCTAGGTGCTAGAGGCTGGGTAAGATGCTCTCTCTCTCTCTCGCTCTCTCGCGCGAGCGCCGGGAAAATGCTTTGGAGAACCAAGTGAACAATGAGTTAGATCAGAGGCCGAGAGGCCATTATATAGGGGTGAGAAGGATGAAAGGGCTAGGTGCTAGAGGCTGGGTAAGATGCTCTCTCTCTCTCTCTCTCGCTCTCTCGCGCGAGCGCCGGGAAAATGCTTTGGAGAACCAAGCGAACAATGAGTTAGATCAGAGGCCGAGAGGCCATTATATAGGGGTGAGAAGGATGAAAGGGCTAGGTGCTAGAGGCTGGGTAAGATGCTCTCTCTCTCTCTCTCTCTCTCTCTCTCTCTCTCTCTCTCTCTCTCTCTCTCTCTCTCTCTCTCTCTCTCTCTCTCTCTCTCTCACTCTCTCTCTCTCTCTCTCTCTCTCTCTCTTTCATTTCTCCTCCCTCTCACTCCCATTTCTCCTCCCTCTCACTCCCATTTCTCGTCCTCCCTCCCATTTCTCCACCCCCTCACTCCCATCCTCGCTTCCCACTCTCTGGATGCCATTGCCAGGTGCCGCTGCCATTGCCAGGTGCCGCTGCCATTGCCAGGTGCCGCTGCCATTGTCAGGTGCCGCTGCCACTGTCTCGTGTCTCCTCACTGCGTTGCTGGTGGTCATCACTGCTGCTACCCATCCCCTCACTCCCGTTCTTCTCCCCCACCCATCTCACCACACTCTTTGATGCCAGGTGCCGTTGCCACTGTCTCGCGTCTCCTCTCTGCGCTGCTAGTCCAGCTTCTTGTTCCTCTCCTCTCATTTCTACACCCCCTCACTACCATTCCCCCCCAACCCCCCACACTCTTTGATGCCAGGTGCCGTTGCCACTGTCTCGCGTCTCCACGCTGCGCTGCTGGTCCTTGCCACTGCTCTTGTGTGCGCCCTGTAGACCCCATGGGGCTAGAAACCCCGTTGCTCTACTGCCCAAGTGTCTGGATTCGAGGGGAGGAGGAAGCACATCAATTATGGATCCTAGAAGGTACGGTAGTTGATTTGCTGCTCATGTAAAAGGTGTTTGGTTTTACTACTCAAGGGCTGATGCACGATTCTTCAAGTGGTTCTCATGAAGTTGTGTTTTCTTGGTTGGGCTTTCCATGTTGAAAGCAATTTGCAAGGGCTAAAGCCAAAAAACGTTCATATCAGCAGCAATTAGTAATGTAGTGTATTCAACCTGACTGAGCTTGAGCAATTCTCGCTCGATTTGAAATGGCGGGAATGCTAGGCTCAAGTCTAGAGATGCATGACAAGACAGTCAGTGCTGTTAGAGATGCATGACAAGACAGTCAGCGCTGTTAGAGATACATGACAAGACAGTCAGTGCTGTTAGAGATGCATGACAAGACAGTCAGCGCTGTTAGAGATGCATGACAAGACAGTCAGCGCTGTTAGAGATGCATGACAAGACAGTCAGCGCTGTTAGAGATGCATGACAAGACAGTCAGCGCTGTTAGAGATGCATGACAAGACAGTCAGCGTTGTTAGAGATGCATGACAAGACAGTCAGTGCTGTTAGAGATGCATGACAAGACAGTCAGTGCTGTTAGAGATGCATGACAAGACAGTCAGCGCTGTTAGAGATGCATGACAAGACAGTCAGCGCTGTTAGAGATGCATGACAAGACAGTCAGTGCTGTTAGAGATGCATGACAAGACAGTCAGTGCTGTTAGAGATGCATGACAAGACAGTCAGTGCTATTAGAGATGCATGACAAGACAGTCAGTGCTGTTAGAGATGCATGACAAGACAGTCAGTGCTGCCCCACATCGTGCCAATTACCTTCTCTCGCCCACGTCTGCACAACCCCTCACCCAAACAGGAAATCAGATCTGAAATCCAAGCGAGGAATCAAATCTGCAGCGCAGATTCTTCTATCGGGCAGCTCAGCCGGCGGCCAGGCAGTCGTGGCTCTCTGCGATCGCATCGCTGCCGCCTTCCCCTGGACGGCAACTAAATGCATCTCCGACTCGGGCTTTTTCATTGGTGAGTCTTAATTGTTTAGGCTTCCTTGGTGAGTGTCCGTCTTTGAGGGCATTGAAGACAAGTGAGGGCTTCCCCCTGCATGCATTGAAGTATCACACATTTGTTCCGCATGCATTTTGGCCCAGTGCGTTTTGAGCATTGATCCCCGCTCGCCCGGTGCTCTCTCCTTTTGAGGCGCCTCAAAAGCATCGATCCCCGTTCGCCTGGTGCTCTCTCCCTCCTCCCTCCCTCCCTCCCTCCCTCCCTCCCTCCCTCCCTCCCTCCCTCCCTCCCCTCCCTCCCTCCCTCCCTCCCTCCCTCCCTCCCCCCCCCCCCCCCCCCCCCCCCCCTTTCTCTACCCCTGCTTTTGGGACACCCAAGGACAGAGAGGCTGGGAACACGTGACGTTCCACAGCACGTCAGCCATTCCCCTTTTCGCCCTGCTTTCCCCTCTCCCACCCTCTCCACTCCCCGTTCCCCTCCCCGCTCAACCTTTCCCTTTTCAGACTCCAAGGACCGAGAGGCCGGGAACACGTGGCGTGACTCGGCACAAAGCCGTTTCCCCCGATTGCCCTGTGCTTCTCCCCCCATACGCCCATCTTCCCCACACTCCACTGTCCAGACTCCAAGGACCGAGAGGGCGGGAACACGTGGCGTGACTCGGCACAAAGCCTGGTGGATTTTCACAAGCCCAACTGGACTGCTTGCATGGATGGTGAGATGCATTACATTGCATGGTGGTTACATGGTTACCACATCACGAGCCTCGGCACAGACCCTTTTGGCAGATCTGGACTGCTTGCATGGATGGTGAGATGCATTACATTGCATGGTGGTTACATGGTTACCACATCACGAGCCTCGGCACAGACCCTTTTGGCAGATCTGGACTGCTTGCATGGATGGTGAGATGCATTACATTGCATGGTGGTTACATTGGTTATCACATCACGAGCCTCAGCACAGACCCTGGCAGATCTGGACTGCTTGCATGGATGGTGAGGAGGGATGCATTGCTGTTAGTGAGGCATGCATAGTGGTTACAGGGTTACCGCACATGGTGTGCCTCAGCACAGAGCCTGGCGGATCTCCACGAGCTGAACTGGAAGGCACTGCACTGGAAGAGCAATGCACTGCTTTTCTCTTTATTCGATAAGATGAGATGGTTTCTTGTAAGAGCGGCGTGCACAGCGGTTACCAGGTTACCATGTGGCGAACCTCATAACCGTCCATCCTTCTGTGCTGGCAATCTTCTTTCCACAAGGCGTCTTTGTCTTTCTTCATGCCGCTTCTCACTTCCCCCTTGCACAACCCACACTCCTGCTCTCCACTCCCTCTTTCCTCCTACGATATCCTTATCGTCCCGAATACCCTTCTCCCCTTACCCACTCCCCCTTTTCATGTGCATCCCCCTTTTCTTGTTTTTCCCCGCCATCCCTGCATGTCCCTTCTGTCTCTCTCCCCTCTCTTCCCCTTTCCCCATTGAATAACTCCAGCCTTACCAGATTATGATCATTGGAAGTGTTTCTTTCCACAATACATACTGCAAAACGTTACAACACCCATATTTCTCTTCCATGCATTCTTTGACATTACGGCGAGCACTCTTGGAGGGCTGTTACCGCGAAACTCTACATATGCTTACTCATGTTTACATGAAGTCTCGTGGTCGTCTACAGGGATTATAGCGAGGAAGGAATGGAGCAGGGTTATATGGAGGACGAATTACTGTACAGCGGTGTCAAATGTTGTAGCCTATAGTGAGGTTTGTCTTAGGGGGTACAAAACTTAGGGTTAGCTATATGTACCCCAACCAACATCAATGCATCATCCATTCCTCATTCTGACATGGTATCAGTTAGGTTAGGATCCTGTGGGATCCCGTTCCTCCGTTCTCCGTTCGTATCTCCCGAGCCTGATCCTACCTCTCGTTCGTACCGGTTCCGTTGTTACCGCGCCTAGTGCCGAGCCTAGCGCCCTTCCCCCCGTCGCCTAGCGCCCTTTCCCCCCCGTCACGTCGCGCCCTTTTCCCCCGTTGCGTCGCGCCCGTTCCCCCCCGTCGAGTCGCGCCCTTTCCCCCCGTCGCGTCGCGCTCTTTCCCCCCGTCGCGTCGCGCCCTTTCCCACCGTCGCGTCGCGCCCTTTCCCCCCGTCACGTCGCCCTGCCCCGTCCCGTTGCCCCTGCCCCGTCCCGTCGCCCTGCCCCGTCCCGTCCCGTCGCCCCGTCCCGTCCCGTCGCCCCTGCCCCGTCCCGTCCCCGTCCCGTCCCGTCGCCCCTGCCTCGTCCCGTCCCCGTCCCGTCCCGTCCCGCGGCCCTGCCCCGTCCCGTCCCGTCGCCCCGTCCCGTCCCGTC